TAGATGGCGCCACAATGTCAGTGCGTTCCGTCATTCTAGAAACATTTAAGAAGTTGTAAGAGATCTCGTCTCTCTCAGTCGTACTCCGTCGCAAGAGTGTGAACGGGCCTTAACGCTCTGCAGGTTTCTAATTGGAACCAAATGTATATTTTACTTAAAAGTTAACGAATTTTAATTAATTAGCCGCCTGATCGTTACGATTAGCCCCTATACTATGTCCCCCTGGCCATATAACTCACCTAGACAAGCCGCATAAGTAACTTTCACTTTTTTTTAACAAACCTGTAAAACTTTAAAAAAAAAAAAAAGAAGAAAGAAAACTGTATACATACACGATAATGCATGATGCATGAGCGCATTCATTTCCCGATTTGCTATTAATATATTCCGGCTCTACGCAAGATAACATCAACCTGCTCTGCCCTTCATTCTTAACCTCCGAAGTAAACTTCCTGGGATTGTCATCCATTTTCCACGCTCGTGCGCAGATACCACAGTTGCCTTGCGCGTGGTGTAAACATGCGGCCTATCTACAGGTCGATCGCGTCTGGGCATTCCGTTCGAGCATCGACATCAGACGTAACCGACCTTCAATTTTTGCTCCCTCTTATTACGTTCCCTTCACTTCACCATTACCATAGCAAGCCAGGTTATTGTCACTGTAGATTTAAATGTGTCTTTCTCAGCAGCATTGGCCTTCGTGGAGGCTCGTCCACGGCCGTTTCAGTGGCTCGGTAAGACAAGAGAAGGTCAGCAATGGAAGCTGCAAGTCCAGTTAACGATACGAGGTGATGGGACCAATCAAGAGGCGTATAAAACTCAAGTCACTAGGCCTTTTTTGTTTGTTTTTGTTTATGGTTCGTTCGGCGATGCTAGAACACGTTTAAGTACAGAAACATGACGAACACCATGACGGTGCGCTTTTTATGCTGCGTCGGTGGTGAAAAGGTGAAACGAAGTACAGTCGCGATCTTGGTATATTTTGTAAGAGCGCGTATAATGAACGTTTTAACCAGGGAACAGGCACGTCAATTAGTGATCTCTTGGGCGTTTCGTCCTTTATCGGAAATCGACGCGTGGTCCGAGAGAGGGACGCAACGTGGCGTACCTGGCAAAGTGGCGTGACACCTTGGATTCCGGTCGCTCGTCACATTCCATCCAATTAATTGGTAGCCTCGCATACGGAATCCCAAGGAAAGTCAAGAAAGCCCGTTTACCATGGTCTCCCTAACCCTCATCTGTATTCCTCGTGCAACGTGTTGCTCTTATCTCGCAAAATCGCACTTGGCCAACTGCCAATGTCCGGAATGCTCGAAAAGATAGCGGACACTGTACACAGGTTAAGAAAAAAAAAAAAAAGAGACAGAAGCGAAAAGCGCTTCGTGCTTTTGAAAGCGGCGGCACATATCTTCACGACGATAGGAGGCACAAACAAAATTCAGGCGCACCTAGGCGACTGACGTAGGCAATGAACAAAAGGCAAGGTGGCAAAAGTACTGGGGAGGTTACTCATAAAATACTGAAATGAAATGCAGAAACTGAGGACAATTCACACACACAACTTGTGTGCGAGTTGTCCTCAGTCTCGGGGATTTTATTGAACGGTAGCAAGTTCAAAACACTGCTCTGTCAAAAATAACCACAAAATTAATCACCGCGCACAAAACAAATCGTGTGTCTAACTTCTAACCAGGCAAAGTGTATTTTCTCATCACGCGGTAGGTTTCCTTACGTTCAGACTCCAACACGAGTAACCTTCAAATAATTTCAGAAGTCAGCATTTCATACTCTAACTTGGGAGAATTCGCAGAAGCAGGTGTCACCGCCTCAGAATCAATGGAGGCATGCTTCCTGGCAGGGCAGGGCATCTCAGGCCATGACCATTCATTTGTGGTCAAGCGCAGGACAAAGCATTAACCTCTCGCCCTAGATTCCCGTGTAGGGAAGTGCACATGAGCGCACATCGACAGTGAACCCGTTTCTTTCTTTCAGGATAGGGATTTGCGGGAGGAAGGAACCGTTGCTCCCTCACTTTTTGTGTACTTAGCGCTCTACAAAGACACTTTTTTTCAGAATTGAGTACGTAGTAATAGTCTCAGTTCCTCTCTTAAACAGCACTCTATAACCATCTTCAATAAACCCGAGACTGGGGCAGAAATGAACATACAAGTCGAAGGAACAGAAAAAGACAGGACGACGTCTCAAACTGAGCAGAGTTTGAGACGTTGTCCTGCCCTTTTCTGTTCCTTCGACTTGTATATTCATTTCTGCCCCAGTCTCGGGTTTATTTAACATGGTTATCATTCACCAGCCCCCCCCCCCCCCCCCCCCCCCTGCACCCTTACTATATTATCTCTGGTACTCTATAATATTTTTATTTTTTGTTTGCTGTTTTGGTTGTGTTTAGTATACGAGCCAGTGGAAGCCCGCGCGTGACAACACGGACCGGGCGACGGCACTAACGAAGAGTGCCCGGCTTAAACGAGGGGAGGCATGCGCCAGTGGTGGCCAGTCCCAAACGTCGCGCCAAACATCGCAGTGACGGACATTCCTTTGAAACTGCCCCCCACCTCCGCACCCCCCGAAGTCGGCGAGCTAGCTATCACGGCCTCAACGTCACAGAAACGACGTGTGAGTAGGCTTACCGCGGCAGGCAAGTGATGATCTTCATGATGTGGGATTCTTAGGAGCCGGTCCAGTCACGTGCAGCTGCCGACCAGGTCGCGAGGGGCCTTCTGCGGGTTTCCGCTGTCCTACGTGAAGGGGGAGTGGGGGTTTGCCCAGCTCTCCATCCAACCACCTTGTGATAAGGCGGACCTTGGGAATTTTTCCACTAGCCCGCCGATCGGTCACAGACAATCCACGCCCAATACAGAATTCGAGACCGCATGGATCCTTTCGGAAGAGTCGCACTGCCGAAACGGACTTTGGCCCCGGCCACATTTTGCAAACTTTGGTTTCGGGGATTCCTCGTGAGAGGCCTATTTCCTGGCGCGGATGGAGCGCACGCTCCGGCCCGCCACGCCAGCAGAGGCCGACAACGTCAGAGGAAGTGGTGAAGAGGCGCGGTCATGACGTCACAGTTTTAATCGACTTGATTGGACGACACAAACTTCCGGCTTGGCTGGCGGAGTGATATGCGTAGTGTGCATGCGGACGTCGTCTGCTAGTCTTCGGCGAGACGAAACTACTGTATGTAGCGAGCTCACATTTTCCGAGCAGGATAATATTTCGAAGAACAAATCCGACAAAAATATGAAAGCTTTCTGTTTTCATACACGCCTGCCGTTTAAAGATTTAGCACGTTTGCTGTCGGTGATATATATCATATATCACTGATGCACCAGTGGCCTAACCAGAATAGGGGGTCTTATGGGTTTTTGGCCCTCCCCCGTACCCGAATTCCTCTCTCCCCCCCCCCCCCCCCCCCCTTCTCCTCCACACCCTAAGTCATGGAGTGTGATACAATAACGTCAGAAGTAACCAATATTCCGGCAGCGTACAATACGAAGAATTTTCAGGCAGCTCGACACAGAGTGCAATGTCGAGCATGTCTCAAAAATGACACAACTCTCTCAAAACTCGAGATAAAAGAAAAAGATAGTTTATTTTTCCTTAGACTTTATATTAAAGGATAACCTTTGCATGGTAAAAAAAGCGAGCTTGGTACAAACCACATTAAAATGCTTGTCAGTCTTAAAAACGAGTACTTTTACAAAACAGCCATCTAGCTGAGACAGCGTCACTTTTCTTCATTATGTACACAACCAGGATGAGCACGGGGAACCTTGTTTATGTACAGAGGACGACTTTTGGATCTTGTCAAGATGCAGACGATTCGAGGAGACTTAGTCGATCCTGGGCTTGCGGCTCCGACTACGTGGTGTCCCATGAGTTTCTGAAGCACCGTTGTTGGCTGCCAACAGCTCCCGAACAAACTTGAATCTTGAAAGGAAGAGTTTCCATACAACATACCATCCTGCAATCAAAATGGAGCTTCTTGACACACACTTTTGCAACCCAATGGCACACACCATTATTTGCATTCAAATAGAAAACAGGTCTGGTAACGCGGTCATTTGTGCACACGTCGAAATCTTCAAAAATCATAAGCTCAGGGGCTGGTTTCATTCGGGAATGACGATCAGCAAGCGCTCGATTGAACTGTCGCATCGCCAGCAACGTGCGACTGGTCGGCGAAAACCCATCAAGCCGAACTGGGATCCGCTTCCTCCATTAGAGGCCAGAGTACTTCAGGGGCAGGAGAATATCATAGCGACCATTTTAAGCCCCGCGTTATTCATAAAATCGCTGAAAAGTATGTTGCATCATCTTGTCTCGGGAGCCACACAAAAACAAGGAGGAACAGACTATTTTAACAAAACACAACGAGCGTTATTTTCATGCGGCTGTCATCACAGGACAACGGTTTCAGTTTCGCTCTTTCGAGTCAGATCCAATCCAAAGCGCGAGTGATTGCACGCACGGAACATGAAACGGGGATCACACAACAAAAGGGCTTCACACCCAGCTCGAATCCCATCCAGTACGATTTCCGTGAGTTCCCCAATCTTACCTATAGCCACCAGCAAAAAGACTAGTAGAAAGGCTAGCCCGATCGATAGAGTTCCCAATATAACGTTTAGCATTCTTCATGTGCGGTTAGGAAGCGCAGTATGCACAGCATGCACAGTAGTTTCCCGGAGAGATTTGTTTGTTGTCCTTCATTTTGTAGTAGGGCAAACATTTTGTTCTCATATAATCCATATGACACTTTTCATGGTGTTTGTTAAATTCTACCTTCGCATATTTTTTATAGTTTAACGCATAAGCTAAAACATATAAAAATATTATTTTTACTTAAAAAGGCTACTTTAAACAAGACCTAATTTCCGCAAAACGTCGCATTTGACTGAATGACTACTAGCGCTGACAAGCTTGATAGTGTCACTTTGCAACATAATTAATGAGCCTTCTAGGCCTGATTCTGAGAGCGGCTATGCAAGTGTTGATTTCTTTTTGTGTGATGGCCCACGAAAGTATCTTGCGGTTGGGTTTTCGCGCAGGTTTCGGCGAAGCGTCCCTAGATCAAGAGGATTTGCAACGCTTTGACGATGCTTTTGGTTCGAACTTTCGCTGTCACACGCAGCTTGCTCAACCGCTGTTCGACGACGTGGGTGTCTTGGCGGTACTGACGCGATGCTCGCTAGTGCTACTCGGTTGTTTCACTGCCGCAACATTTTTTTTTCTTTTCTTCGCTTTTTCAGCCGTTGGAAGCAGACGAAGGTTCGTTATGACAAGGGCACAAGTACCTTCAAGTACAAAGGAGGAGTCGCCGTTGCTGCCGAATTACGAGCTACGGGGGGCGAATACATCGGTATGACATCTTAATCCTTTTATAGATGCTATTAGGAGGCGATGTTTGCTCTGATAATTAAAGATGGAAATAAGCGAACCCGTGCAGTGCAGCAGAAAAAAGCAAGCGAAGTAAACTGCTCGTCGTATCCTTGTGCCTTTTGCTTGCTTCTAAATCGTGCCCAGGCTCCCAGAGTCAAGAAGATAATCGTGATTAGCAAGTACAGTCGGCAGCAAAAGTATGTGCCTGGATCGCGTCTCCGACTGGTATGTTTAGAGTCCTATCTCGCCCATACATCAAAAGTGGTCTCGAAGTGTCAACAAGTGACGTCACAAAAGCCGGAGTGTCATGCTGTTGCATGTCGCGATCCTTGCGGTTGGTCGTAGAAATGCTGGCGAAAAGCACAAGCGAACGCCAATGTCGCTGTCGTCACGGCGTCCCACCTTCTGGCTGCTAAAGCTTCCGTGGACCGCCACATTGGAGAGCGACCTGCAACATAACAGGCGTCTGCCACATACACTTCGCTGTTGGGATGCCGCCAGGATCGCGACCGGCGACAGTATGACACTTCTATGACGTCACCGGGAGGAAATCGAGGGACCACTTTTTTTGGACGTGGTAAACACACCAGTCAGAGACGCGTTCCAGGCATCATAGCTAAAGTGGCTAAAGTTTACGTGGCACGGGAGCACCGGTCGAAATGACTGACCCTCTGATGGCGCATCGCCAATCTCAAGACTCGTACTTTGTGCATGGGCTTCCTTTCATGTTCGCAGACATATTTTTTTTTTTTTTGCTCGCTTCCATCAGACACGCACAAGCTAACAGAGACTGGCCCAAGGTGCCGCGAAATGTTATCTGAGCATGGCAGCTCCGTCGCCCATCACGATGGGTTTGGCAGACGCGCAGCATGACGACTTGCAAAGCGGCACCTTGCGCCGGACCCAGTTATCTCGTGCACGTCGGATGGAAGCGAGTGAAAAAGACATGACTGTGAACACAAAAGGAAGCGCATTCTCGAAGTGCAAGTCTTGAGAGTGGCCGCGCGCTTCCAGAAGGCGCAGCCAGTCATTTCAGCTGGCGCTCCCGTGCCCCGCAAACATTTGCTGCCGACTGTATCTCATGGGGACGATGGCTGGAGGAGCTGCGGACTGCGTGTACTGGCAGCGAATGCTGCAGGGGATTTTCCATCGGCCTTATTTTCACCGGGACTTGCCCGACGATCAAACGAGTGTTGCCGAGCACGAGCTTGAGCGTCCCAATCCACTTCCAAATCCACTTTCCGAGCTGTGCTCGGAAAGTGAATTTTGAGCCAACGGCTGTTATGGTTGCATGCAGTCCATTGATGACTTGCAAGAGGCGGGGTGTGGACAGAGTTTCTCTGTTTTCTTGCAGGATTTACGAGCTGAGAAACCAAGAGGGGATCGCTATTGCTGCTGCTTCAAAATTGCTCGCCAATATCTTGTAAAACTACAAAGGTGCGTGCTGATTGCACTTTTGTGGATAAAGTGCTGCGCTGGATAGTCTCTACATACGCATCATTCTATTTTTGTAGAGCGTAGATGACCTGCTGCTTACTGCATAAATGGCTTTGTGCTAACTCGGTAGCTGAGCATCTTTGATACCACAGGACTCAAATCGGAGTTTGTGGCAGGGATCCCTGAGCTAAAATGATTCTAGTCGTTTTGTGATGAAAAATCGAGCACAAAGAGACGAGGACAAAAGAGAAAGGAACATAGGCAGGCATGTTCTGTGTTCCTTCCTCTTTTGTCCTTGCCAGTTTGTGCGTGATTTTTCATCATGTTCAACATTTACCAACTCGCCCAGCTTATTACTTTATTCTAGTCGTTTCGCTGAGCCCTACCCGAGGCACCTAAGAAAATGGATAGAGATAGTGTTTGTTAGCTACAAGTGTTGCTGGACTGTTTCTAGAAGTGTTTGTTTAAACCTCGAAGTGAGGCTACTTTGCTTGGATTATACGGGTTTGTTGTAGTGCAAGGTGTTTCACGAGAGATTGAGTTGTGTTTTCTTTGTTACAGGATGCCATGATCTTTGGCTGGGACAAGCGGGTAAGATCTCTCACATATAGGTTATACTGCATTGCCAGATTTTAGAAGGATTCAGTGTCATTTATTACCTGTTTGGGAAACTGGGTCAATTTACCAACATTTGAAAAATAATTTAGCCATTAAATTATAAGCAACTATAATGTTTGTGATGCAAGTGTGTTGAGGGTTGCCACCTACCCGGTTTTCAGCTGGCAAGGCCGGTTTCCGTGTTTTCAACAAGCGTTTTTTCTTTTTAGTATTCAAGTGCAGTTTTTTTTTTGTTTCGTTTTTTAAACATTTATACACATTAAACCACCATCTACCACAAAATATGTTTGTCGATGGCAAGAAAAAAGAAAAACAAAATGTCACAATGTACGAGAAAAATCCGCTGAGGACTCCCCAGTAGAAAAACTCAGCGAGTGAGCGCGCAAGCTTGCGAAACGACGACGTCGTTTAAAATTTGCGGGTAGAAAAAAAAACAAAGTAAAAGAAACAGATAATGCAACTCAAAAGTCGCAAAGACCACCGAGCGGCTGTGGTAGCAAGAGGCCTAGCCCTGAGATGATCAGGGAAACGGTAAAAAGCAGGAAGCCGGCACCTGTGGGGGCACGGGGAATACAGGACTGTCCTGCCCTCCCTCTAGTTGTGCCTCCTGGAATGTGTTGGTTTTTCGACTTTTAACAGTTGTTCACATCTTGGCAAAGACATGCATGGTGCTACCACTCATCCACACATGAATGATTGGCGGAAAATTAATGCGTCCTGCACTCTCGTAAGCGCTGCAGCCCTGGTAATAGCGTGGAGGGCAGCCCGCAGTCTTTTTGCAGCTTGTTTACACTCTCTTCCTCTATTGCGGTTTAACGTCCGACAGAGGGCTTAGACGGCAGGACGTACGTCCACTCCTAAGCTGGCAATGCAGTGGGAGCTGCGCACTTGCCAGACCAATCAGCCGCCTCTCTTTCGTCGTCTAACCTAGCTCTCTGCGCGTAGGTATGAGCAGGAGCGTGACCACGTGACGAAAAATAAATGTGCGACTGATCAAACATGCACATAGCTTCTATCACTCTGCCAGCTTAGAGGTGTACGGGGTCTACATCTGTTTACGTCATCACGAAGCAGCAGGTATCATTCGGGTCATGGTTTTAAAAAAAGAGGGGGGGGGGGGGGGGGGGTAATTCTAGCTTTTGCCTTAGTGCCGGCGCCCGAGGCACGCAACGACACGTCTCCAGAGCCGGTGGAATGCTGGCTTTGATTCTCTCACTCGTAGCAGTGCAAAGAATATTGGTCAGCTACTTTCCTGATATGTGCTTTATCCTAACGAAATCTCGCTTCCTCCCTACTGTTACCTTCCCTCTCCCCAGACAACTACAAAGCTGGCTTCGGGAGGGACGCAGCCGGGGTTGTTGTGCAGTAACTCATTCGACTTAAGATCTCCAAGTCATTGGTGTAGTGGAGAGGTCGCACTCCCTGCCAGCGTGAGCCATGCTATATTTCAAGCACTTCCTTTCATTCTAATCGCAACACATGCAAGAAGTTGAGTAACTAAAGCATCACGTCTGGGCTCCTTGAACCTTACTTCTATTTTAATTTAAGTTAGTCTTTCTTGTAACACTTTTTGTTTTTATCAGTGGTTTAACTTTAAAGGGAAACTGAAGCGGTTCTGGGTTTGAGAAAAAAAAAAACACATAAATAGTCTTCATTCGGCCTTCAGGATCACAAATACAAAAAATTATATTTCAGATTGATGCTTCAGGTAGCCACAACAAGATTTTCTCTATACCGCTGAAGCCCCTCTTTCCCGGCCCTTTTGGTGGGAGGAGGGAATCGTGACGGGATTATTCAAGTATGTCAACATTTCTGCGCCTTCCACAACCCCTACCCAAGCAGTAAAAAAATGATGTACGTGTTGTGCTTGTGACATTCAAGTTCACCGGACAAACATAGGCTAAAATTCACATCCTACTCTTTTTTTTTTTTCAAGAACCTCTTTAGCTTCCCTTTAAACCTGTCTTCGCAAGTAGGTTATTGTAACAGTGTAACAATGCCCTCTCGTTATATCCATGACCTCCTTTCTTATGCCCCCCTGAATTGGTCCTTTGCATTGTTAAATGTTGTATTATAGTTTGCTTTGTCTGCACCAATATACCTACGGTATATGAAAAACGCCAACCAACGGGAAATTAGCAAGGTTTTAAAAATTGCTTAATTCATGGTGTTATGTTACGTTAGCTCGCAGAATCCCTTAACCCAAAACCATACTCCACCCTCTCCACGAGCACTGCCGTTTTTTTTTTGTTTTTTTTTTCTGGAGAAAGGTGGCAACTTTAACTACTCGTGCCTTTCGGCTTCCCTCCTTCGAGCTGAGTACCCTTTTTGCCTGCAGCTGATGAGCACTTGGTGTGTCTATCAAAGATGGAGGGGGGGGGGGGGGGGTTGTGCTTTGTCAGAGGTACAGTCGCACCTGTTCTAAGTGCTTGAGCAGTCGTGGCCCCTTCCAAAGTTGCTTGCCTGTGAAAGCTTATTAGCCCTAGGGAGTTTTTAAAAAAAATGTTGCGGAGCACTTGTTGCAAGGGCGATAGTTGGTACTGGTCCTTGCTTATGAGCACTTTGGCCGTGATTATGGCCTTCTTTGGGCCAAATAATTCTCAAGTTTGTGGAGGTACTGGTTTTGCCCCAAAGCATCCGACGAAAGTAAATACTGTGGCACTCAATTCCCCGATTTTTTTGTGGGTGCGGCTATTTTGGTGCTCAGTGACGAGTGGAAAATGCGACCACCTGAGCCCTAGGGTGGGATTGTTTTGCTCTGTCGTGGACCTTATTTCTAGAGGAAGCTTAGGACAGCTGGCAACAAGGAAGCTTTTAGGCTGTGCAAGGTACCGGCCGTTATAAAAGTGGTTAATATCAGTTGATGCATCCATCCTTCGGATGGCTCAAGTGCCACTCTGAAGCGTAGCTTAGTTAGTGGCATCCAAGCATACTGATTCATCCGAAGGTAGCAGATTTTGTTTCTGACTGTGAAAACCTCTGGTGACCTCAGGGACCCGACTTGTACTGTGTGGACAATGAGGGCAACCACCTCTCATGCAGCATGTTCTCCTCTGGCTTTGGGCCGACATACTCAATTCGGTGTCCTGGACAATGGCTACAAGTTTGACATGGACGACCAAGAGGCCTTGGAGCTTGCCCACAAGGCTATCCACCACGCCATCTTCAGGGACCTTGCGAGCGGTGGCATTGTGAGAGGTGGGAACTCCGTGGGAGAATGGGAGTCTTCTCTTAAATGCCAACAAGGTTTTGACATCGATGGGCCATTCCGGAAATGAGCAGCACCTTCTTTTCTATGCATTATGGCAGTCCGATCTTTGCAGCGTGAGGGAGGTCCCACAAAGCGGTTCATGTTGCTTTGGAGCTCTGAGAATACAAACGAGGTATTCGTTCTGTTTTCTTTGAGTTTTGACTATGCAAGAGAGAAGGGCTGCTTCCCGGACGTACACAAGTCGCTCAAGCATACCTGGGCACGGACCCACAATTCCACCTGCTGCGCAGTGTAGTGCACCGAGAGGTCTCGTGGTACTTTCCAGACATGTCTATTGCGAGTGTCTGAAAGGGACGTCTGTCATGTGTTTGCATGTTTTGGCTTTGTGAAAGTAGCATAAAAACATGCATATAATACGGGAAGCAATCCAAAACCTGCAAAGGGAAAAAAAAAAAAAGTTTGATCCAGGTATAGTGCGATTTAAGAACACTTGCTGAAGTACTGTTGAAATTTTGTGTGAGTTGGTTATGCATAAAGTTTGCGTTTTCTTTTTTCTTTAATTTAGGGCAGTTAATTTTTTCTTACAGATTTGGTGTTATTTTTATGTAGATTGGTTAAGTTATAACCAATTTACACAAAAAACAATCTCTGCAAAACCCCCCCCCCCCCCGAAAAAAAAAAAAAATCCAATTGCCAAATTTGAAGCAAGAAAAACAACACAGAACCCTAGTTTAAGAAACTAAAAACAGTGCAAAGATGGTCGCAGGACGATCTGCGTTCTGTTTGTATACTTCTGCTCATCCTTTGTCCATCTTCGCACTGCTTTTAGTTTCTTAGAACACTTGCTGTTCTGACAAACCACCGTAATTCTTTATTTGAACAAACAAAAGGCGAGGTCTAGAGTGCATTGTCCCTTCACAAATGGAGTTGGGTCCACTTCGATCTCGGTAAACTTTCCTGCGGCTCCAGGAAACTTCTTTATGTACCGTTTCACGCGAAAAGGGCTTGTTTCCGCTTCCTCCATTCACAAATGCAGCCTTCCTTCACCATAAACCTTCGTCCCGCTGCACCGTTACCGAAGCTCTCGGCCACTAAGATAACCTTTCTCTTCAATGCAGCCGAGCACTCCTTCCGCAGTGATTCCATTGCGCAGCTCGGCTGGATACGTAGGAAGATCTAGGGACAATGTTACACAAAAAGGTATACATTTTGGCGACTGCTTGCGCTAGGGATAGGGTAGTGGCTCGACTGCGCAACTCGCTACCACCAGGGCCCATTTGCTCGAAGCGCTTACCGCGGCTAAAGTTAGCCGCAGTACCTAGGAGAGGGATTTTGAAATCACAGGACTGGGGGGGGGCTCGGTAGGGATGCGGGGGGAAACATGGCAGTGCCCCGGTGAGTGAGCGCCGCTCGCTTTGGAACTAATATGTCATTGTAGCTGCAATATCGGGCGCGTTAGTCAGCAATGAATGTTGCCGGAGGCTTTCGCTTTGCCGTACCTCACTTAAATCGCAAAGCATGAGCAATGACCTCGCCACATTTTTTAGATAGTCTTTCAATTCTGGCCATTCCTAAGACTAAATGAACGCAATAATTGTTGGCATGGCAACGTTTTTGGAAAGCGGATTGCCTTGACTCAATCGGCCGGATATTGATAGCACACAAAAGCAGACAGCGTCCCAATATACCTTTTTTTAAATTACTCAAGCATTGAGGAGAACGCTGGAAATGTAATTCTACGGTCTGCATGCGCTGGCCTCCCCCTTATAAAAGATTCAAAGTAAATAATCATAATAAGGCTTTGACGAACGCGCGTGCAAGGCAAAATTCATTTTAGACTTTTTGCTTTAGAACAATTACTACTGCAGACGCCAGCACGTGCAACGCGTGTAACTACACTCGTAGCATGCACCTCAGTGCTTGGGAAATTAGAAAAAGGTCTATTGGGATGCTGTCTGCTTTTGTGTGCTATCAATATCAGGCCAATTGAGTCAAGGCAATCCACTTTCCAATGACGTTGCCATGCCGACAATTATCGCGTTCATATAGGCTTAGGAATGGCCAGAATCGAAAGACTATCTAAAAAAATGTGGCGAGGTCATTGCTCATGCTTTGCGATTTAAGTGAGGTAAGGCAAAGCGAAAGCCTCCTGCACCATTCGTTGCTGACTAACACGCCCGATATTGCAGCTACAATGACATATTAGTTTTAAAGCGAAGCTGCGCTCACTCACTGGGGCACCGCCATGTTTCCCCGCATCCCTGCCGAGCCAGTCACATGATTTCAAAATCCCTTTCCTAGGTACTGCGGCTAACTTTAGCCGCGGTTAGCGCTTCGAGCAAACAGGCTCAGATGATGATGATGATGATGATGGCTAATTTGATGCTCATTACTAGAGTTCTGTTTTCCGAGTTTATTTTTGCCGGACTCCGAATTCTCTGAAATTCGGAGTTTAATTATGCAGCGTTTCCTATTTTTCTGAAATAAAAAGAAATAATATCCGGGTGTAAATCTGTGCTCGATTAAAATGAATGCGCTTGTATCAAATATAATATCTGAAGTTGAATTCGGCATTGGCACTCTTGCCTTTGGCAAAAGTAATCTGTCCCACAACAGAACTTGCAAACTGGTGTTGCTTCGATCAACGTTGATAGCTTAAAATCACGAAACTCCTGAAGGTAGTTGCTGGGAAGCTCGTTTTGATCCCATCCTATTCGATCACCCTAGTCCGTGGCTGCGCAGCAGTGCTGTGAAGCTTTTTGGGGCGAAGTCGCCAGTTTTAGCAAAAAATCGCTGAGTGGTGATAATGATGATGACCTTTTTCGGATATTTTTTTTTTATTGTATATGACGTAAAGACTTTTTTTAACCCCTTAACCGTTTTTCATTTTTGGCAATTTTTAACCCTAAACCGCTTCTTTTTTTTATCTTCTTATCTTATGATCTCAGTTACTTCACGTATAAAGCCCTATTATGATTGAACGACGGAGCAAACAAACATTTTATTGATGTCGATTGTAATTGATTTGTTTTGGGGACAAGTTCAACTAACTTGTATTTAAAAAAAAAAAAAAAAAGAAAAAAAAAAAACAGGAGAAAAAAGCCCGGAATGGAAAGGAAAGTTTTCTGGGCCCCTAAGGCAATTTCGCGACCGTGTGATACAGCTCGAAACACGGAATTACACGAGCCTTCTCGCACTTGCTGCACCAAAACCTTGTCTCCTTCCTCAGCCTCTTTCCATTTTGGTCCTTCTTCTTGCAACAGAGGGTGCACTTTCGGGTTGGCTCGATTTTCTTTTCGGTCGGTGGGATGTAGGCGGGGAAGTGGCGGCCAGTGAGCCGGTCAACATCAAGCAGGCTGGAGGGACGACCGCGCTTTGGCTTCTGTGAGGGTTCGTGGTACTTGTTCAGGATGCTCTCAATAAGAGCAAGACGGTACTCAATGTGGAGCATCTTACCTCCGTCTTTTTTGTACACAATGAAGGAGTTGTATGTGGCTTCATCTACAAGCTGACGAAATATCTTTTTGTAATATATCTTTTGTCGTTTCCTCGACACCGGGTAGTTTGCCAGCATTTGGTCGCACTTATCAACTCCCCCCATGGTGTGGTTGTAGTCCCGAACGATGCTAGACTTGGCTACGGCTCGTCCTCTTGTGTCTGAGAACTTTTCAATTTCTGCACTATGCACTGTGCTCATTACGGTGACAACTTTCTTGTCTCGCCACTGGAGAGCAACACACTTCCCCCGCTGGTAGGCGTGCGCGTCACCCTTCTTCAGCTTAGGTGCGCGAAACTCTGGTGGCATCTCCTTCCTGTTGGCTCGCACAGTTCCATAGACATCTGTGCAGTTCTTGATGAGGGCATCAACAAGCTTCGGCGATGTGTAGAAATTGTCGATGGTCACGCAGTACCCCTTGCCAAGGAGTGGCTCCAGCAACTTCAGCACCACCCTTGTCCCCATTGCAGATTCTAGAGGAACCGGAATAAGAGTGCTGAGATCTGTACCTTTTCCAGTGTAGATCAAACTGTTCCATACATAGCCTGATGCTGCCTCGTACAACATGAAGAATTTTATCCCAAAACGGGCCCTCTTCAATGGGAGGTACTGCACCCAACCCAACCTCCCTTTGAACAGCATGAGGCTTTCGTCGATAGAGACGTCTTTCTTTGGTATGTAGGCCGTCCGGTACCTCTCAACCAAACGCGACAGAAATGGCCATATCTTGTAGAGCTTGGGCTGTGGATGAGTGCCGAGATCGGTTGAACTCTCGTTGTCCACGAAGTGAAGCATCCTCATGATGAGTTGGAACCGGTTACCGCTCATCACTTCTCCAAAGATGGGCGTGTGCAGAAGCTTGTTCTTCGACCAGTACCACTCTTGCTCCGGTTTTTGCACAATCCCTTGCAACAGCAGGAGCGACAAAAAAACCCGCATCTCTTCCGTTGTTGTTGGTACCCATTTCTTGAGGTGAGAATGCTCGCTAAGTTGGCTGGCGTTGAGTTTTTGCTCAGCATAGCGGTTGGCTTCCCTAACTATCAACGAGATCAAGCCGTTGTCCAGAAAAGCTTCAAAGTACTCAAGCACGTCAGTGGTTGATTGGACTGAAAATGTCTTACCCGGGCTGCCGAGAAAAGGGAACCGAGGAGGGGCTGGCGGAACACTGTTCATGTCAATTTTCGACCACTGCCGAGCATCGGCAATAGCGCGATCTGGATCGTCGTCGTCCTCCGCTTCGTCCGAGGAGCTGCTGAGTTTGACGTCGTAATCACTGTCTTCTTCACTTGAAGAGCAGAAGTAGACATCAGTATCCATGTCGCTATCAAAGTCTTCTGTAAAAGAAGCATTTCTTTTCCCTTTGGATGGGCCCGGGCCACACGTGTCACCACCACCGGACGCCATTTTTCAATCTCGTCTTCAAACGAAGAAAAAGACAAAACACAAACCAAACAGATGCAAAATTGCCGTTCCTGTGCTGCCATCTGTCGG